AGGGTCCTAACACAAAGTGTGTTGCAGGTAAAACGTCCTACAGTGTGCTGTCAGACGAGGAGCAGATCCAGAGTGAGATATACAAGAACGGTCCAGTAGAGGGAGCCTTCACCGTCTATGAAGACTTCTTGCTGTACAAGACTGGTAAGCACTCGAGCACCATCAACAGACAAATGTAGCATAAACACGTGGAATACTGAGCACTTGTACACTCACAACCTGTTGAGCACAGGGTGAACTCTGACTGCACGTTTTGATCAGTGGTTCTGTAAAATGTTGTTTCTGACAGTCTCTTGAACTCAAACTCTTGCTGACCCTCCCCTCTATTGCGTGGTTTTATTTTTCTTGTCTCCAGGTGTGTATCAGCACATGACTGGGTCTGCTGTTGGTGGCCATGCCATCAAGGTCCTGGGCTGGGGCGAGGAGGGTGGTGTTCCCTACTGGCTCTGTGCCAACTCCTGGAACACTGACTGGGGTGATAACGGTGAGCAGAGGCACACATTTTACCACTTATGATCCTTTTAACTAACATTCAAACAACGATAAATGTTAGCTCTCCTATTTACATTTATTAAGGAAATGGAATATTAGAAACCCTTCAGTGTAAAACAGTCTAATACAACACTGAAGCCTCGAATGAACACGTTGTTCAGTCAACATCCTGATTATGTCACAAACTTTTCATATCTATTCAAAATCTGGATTCCCATGCACATTTTAGCTGAGACTATTTTTTTCATAGTGGTATTGTGGAGTTGAATGAGATTATATAACTACTTGTCAGCAACAAGTTAAATACCAGTAAATCAACTAGTCCATCATGCTTTGCTATGTAAAACTCCTTGTACTGTATATACTTGACAGCTGCTATGAATTTGAGACCCAAATGCACATGCCATATGTTCTCACACTTAAAGCTACAGTTGGTAACATTTATAACTGTCTCTGTATTTACACAGCACTAAATGAGACTGATAATATGTGAATGAAAATTATACTCCTGCCTACTCTATTTCCTTGTACCATTTCTAATGGCCTTATTGCACATGATCGATACAACCAATCAAAGCCAAGGAGTTTAAAAAGCAGCTGTCACAGTTCGTGACCTGCTGTCAGACTGTCAAACTAGGCAGTGTTGATCAAATGTGAATCAAGATTGTGTTACTGCATTGTGTATTTCTCACCTCAGATGTTTTCCGAAACATATTTCAGTGTACTGTTTAGCTGAAAAATGAGAGTTTGTGACCTGGCCACAATGCTGAAACCAGTTGGTAACAGTTAAATGTATACTAGAATATGTTTTCGAAAACATTTTAGGAGAGAAATGGACAACGCAGTAACAAAATCTTGATGCATATTTAATCAGCTCTGCCTGTGTGACAACTTGATCACAGTTCAAGGAGTGATTGACATGACTCCGCAGCTGCATTAAGGTCTTGACTGCGACTGGTGCTGTAGTCTGATACTAGCGAATACCATTTTATAGTCAGTAGGAAGAACAGGAGGAACATGATTATTTTCACAGACTGTTTCATGGTCTTCTCTCAGAATGTAGTGACAGTATGGCACAAAGTTATTTTCATAAATGTTACCAACTGCATTTTTAAGATATGAAGATATTTTATACTTCCAAACAGACTGACTGGTGTTGGGTCAAAGCTATTCTCTTTCAGTTTGTTAAACTGCCCTCTGGTTTGTCTCTGGTCTTCAGGTTTCTTTAAGATCCTGCGTGGATCAGATCACTGTGGTATTGAGTCTGAGATCGTGGCGGGGATTCCCAAATAAGCTCCAAGGTAAGACAACAAAACAACTTGTAATGGCAATATAAATTATTGACATCAAATAAATCTGTGTTTACTGTGTCCCTGTAAAGTATAACACTGCTATTCTGTTGTAACCTTCCAAATGTAATGTCATAAACCAAACTAGAGTGCATATACTTGTATTTGTGGACAATCCACATGGCTTTGAATTAACTGTACGCTAAGTACCACCACAGTAGCTTCCATTTCAAGTCTAAGAAGCGGTTGTCTTTTTATTTTTTTTGTAAATCTTCAACAAAAGTTGGATTTAACATGAACTTTAACATGAAGTCTGTGATTCTGTTTCTTTTGCAGGTTTTGAGCTGCGGTGACAATTACATAATCACTAGAGGGCGACACACTCAACTTGCCTGCTCAAGAACTCATTTAACAGCTTTTAGTCATTTTTTGTTCCAGCCCACTGATCATGTTGCACACATAGTGTGTGGTTTTCTTTTGACAGCAGACAGAAAAAACTCCAGAGCACCCTTCACCTCATTTAGGTGGATTAGCAGATAGTGTGTCTGAGCACAAATCACCATGGTTGGTTGAAGGTGTTTTTTTTTTTTTTTTTTTTTGTTTTTGTTTTTTTTTGGTGAATGATCTGTTGCAAGGTCTCGTTCCTTCACCTCTTAAAGCGGGGTCAATCAAAAGGTTGCACAGGAGGAAAAAAAATGTTTTTAAGACACGCATGTGCATTTCATTTTATCTGAGGTGATGTGAAGCAAACTGTCACTGCTGAATTTCATTTGGTCCCCTGTCCTCACCTCCTTTTTCTGCACCGGTAGAAAGTGTGGGCCTTTTTTTTAGTAATACAGCCTATTACTGAAAGACATTGAAAGACTCTGCCCAGTGCAGCACAGGACAGTTTGTCTGAATGTGTCTAATTTTTAATGGTCACAGCTTTCATATTTGATGTTTTCATTATTGCTCAGTACCACTCTATGATGTCAGGATGTACTCATTGTGATTGTTGTCTGTTAGTGTTTTTCAATTTCGAGTGTCAGATTAGAAATGAATGTTTTTTTTTAAATTTGTTATGACTGCCTGTATTAATCAAAATACTGACTGCAGCTTTTATGTTCTGAATAAATAAAATAGTATTTGGTTCCCAACATGGTGTTGTTACTCTTGAATGGGCGTGCTAGCATTTTAAATAAATTTGCATTTTATCTGACTGGTATGTAAACCTGATGGGACTGACTCCCCAAGAAAATGTGGGTCAGTGTGATAAGTACATGGAAACTTAGATGTGAGTCACAGCTATTGTGATGAAAGTTGATAAAATTTGTTATAGGATTTTTCTGCATCTAAAATTTAAATCCAAAAGGAGTAATAAAAAGTAAGACTCCAACTTAAAAACTCCAACAAGCAGTTAGCTTTCCTACCCTTTTTATGTGTGCAAGACCAACTAGAAACCTTGGGTCTTATGCAAGACACTATATACAAACCCATTTTCTCTTACTTTTGTTAGTATCCACAATTTGCTCTTATTTTGTTAGTGCCCATTGATTTATGGGAGTCACTAATAATTTCTTATTTTTCTCTTCTCTTAGAGAGAGAGCACTCTTACTCATAAGAATCATAAGGTACTAAGATAAGACAAAAACATCTAATTTCCAGTCCAGAAATGTGAGGACAATTAAAAACATGCATGAATGTGATATAAGAAAATTCAGATTACTATGTCTGAGAGAAATTGGATTAATACATTTCAAGGATAAAGAAATACTACTATACTTGGTCCATTGATCGCAGCTACTATCAGTTACTGTGCGTCCCTCTGCTGACCTGTGATGCAACGTAACTAAGTCCATTTACTCAGAAAGTACTGAACTAAAATACAAGTGTAAGTATCTTAATCTCATATCACCTCCTCTGCCTCACCACATTTTAGAGGTAATTATTATACATTTTAATCCACTAAAAGTATTTGATAACTTTAGTTTCTAGCTACTTTACAAGTTAAGATTTTTGTACATAACCCAAAAATATAATAAAAAAGTGCAGCTGAAAAGATAAGTCGATTGATTGGATAATTCAATGGCAACCATTTTGAGTCATTTTTCATGCAAAACCATTTTATGGTTCCAGCTTCTCAAACATGAGGATGTGCTGCTTTTCCTTTTCAATAGTTAAATTGTTTTTAATTTATTAAATTTAAACTTATTTAAACTTATCTGTATGAGTACTTTTAATACTTAAATACATTTTCCTTACTTTTATTTAAGAAACATTTTCAGTCCAGGGCTTTTACTAGTAATAGAGTTTTGATAGTGTGGTATTAGTACTTTTAAAGTAAAGGATCAGACTATTTCCGCCACCACTGCTGCTGACATGGCACATGTTTTGCTATTGCTGAGTTTTTGATTTTGCTTTACTACTACCAGTACTGACACTGTGGAAAATCACATTAACTCTGTTTAAGTTTGTTTACAAGTCACCTCTGCTGAAGTTTTCCCTCTTACAGCCTTTTTTTTTTTTTGGGTGACATCTCTTCAATGCTCGGGTATGTACCTGAGTATTTACACACAACACCACACTTGCCCCTATACACTGTTTAGGGGGCATTACCTATGCTAATATGAAACTCATGATCACGTGGGATTCTTCATTCAGCATATCTGGGTCAGAGCAGATTTGGATGGAGTTGACTTCTCTTATTTTTTTTCTCTTAACTAAAAATAAATAGAAGATAAAAGAGAAATTTAAGAGAATGTTTCTGCATGAGGCCCATTGTTTCTAGTTTCTGGACAAACTGCTGTGTTAATGATTAAAGTTTTTTGTCTTCACAGTTAAAATGTGTGCTCTTATTTTTGTCACTTCCGCGTTGTTGTCAGCAAAAACAAACACTCCCCCTTCGTAGTAGACTAAAGGTTGTTTGATTTGTATACAGGCGTCCACCTGTTATCCAACATGTACAGCGGTGCTTGGGTTTACATAAAACACTTCAAAGAAGCCTCCTTTACAAGAATATAAAGAAAGTGGTTGTCTTAAGAGGCTGAAACGCGGTTAAAGTGGTTATGTTTTGAATCAATAGCTGAATAAATACCGGAATATAGCTGAATAGAATCTAGGATTCTGCTTTCAGTTACCGTACATCCGGGACACTCCGGCTCCTAAAACAAACAGACATCCCAAAGCACGGCTTTTTACTGGTCGGGCGGAAAGTGCTTATTCATTACTGACAGAGGGAGCCACGGCAGCGAGGACGGCGAGAGATGGAGAGAGGAGGCAGGGCTTCGTGGATGAAATATGGGCCTGTTGTGTCCCTGCTCGTGGTTCTTTTGGCCGTGTGGTTCCGGTCACCCCAGGATGCAGTGCTGGACGACCGGCTGGACACCGTCTTGTCCTCTCTGCTCCGGGCGGAGAGCAAAGTCGGCATCAATGGCGTCGCCAGACCCAAAGTAGCCATCGGTAAGTGCAAGTGGTGTGAGCTAGCTAATTTTGCCTAGCTTAACCTACATTTAGGAGCGTTTCTGGGTTAATAAATGATTCAGTCTGAGATGATTTTCATCCGTAATAACTGGCATTGAATCTAGAAATATGCTCCAGATGGAAAAATGCATGAAGTGCTCCGACTCGCTAACAAACAGAAGACTGAAGTTAATTGCTAACTGGAATTGGCTTCATTCAGCTAAAACGTAATTAAGCGGACTTTTAAAAGGCACAGTGACAACTTTATTTCTGTGAACTGACAATAACCTCAGTCAACTTTGCTATACCTTCCCCTTTTTCACTGAATATCAGGAGATTTGTGAGTAAATGACTGACCAAGTAAAAGCAGTGCAGTGCAGTGAAGTGCAGTGGAGCATGAACTGAAAGAGGGAGGTCAATCAGGGGTGACTGTGAATGATTTGCACAGTCATCAGATCTCAGTCAGGAGTTAAGTTGTTAGCAGAGACCCTCCATCAACCAGCAGAGCACCACAGACAACCAGTGAAGGGCAAAGACTGCTGTAATGGAAGGGCAGGGAGGTGCTGATATTTGCACCATGAATATGGGTTAACTTTATTTAAGTAACTAATGTCTCCCTTATGTCACTTGCACAGATGGTAGCCTCAGTGTGACATATCTATTATAACATGTGGATTTTCGCCGATATCCAACATACTGATGTAGATATATCCCCTTTTATCCCTACCCAGTTTGACTCATCATCAAGTCTCTTCTGTAGTGGAATTAACATCATATTATGCATGCATACTCATATCATGATGGCCCTCCAGTAGATGAGGACATGAAATACAATGCTTTTCAGTGTATATAATATTCATTTATTGTGCAAAATAAGATTAAGCATGTTGGCCAGTTGTGAAAGATCATTTTAAAGCCAATACTGGCCAAAATTATCATGCATCCCTAATACAAAATAGACTGGATAAATGGTAAAAGCAGGTGTTGAATGTTAGGGATTCACTAAACACTGTTGCTTTAGTTTAAAAACAACCCTATAGGTTTCAGGTTGGGTTCAGTATGCTGACAGCAATTTAATAAAACCAGTGTGCCACAAGAGAAAAGCACAACTGGCAGTTTGTGGTCTCCGTCTTGCATTGAAACTGTGGGCACCAAGGGGATTAGCAGTACTACAGGGTGGAATTTCTTATCTGATAAACTGCGTCAGACAGGTTTCAGCAAACAACATAATTAGCATCACTGACAGGTGTTTTGGCCCTCATGATCTAATCCTAAAATCTTGTCCTTTGAGCCTTGTTAGAAGCAACGCAACAAAGGTAATCGCTCTATCTGTCCAACCTTTACCCAGTTAATCAACAGGCTCAGCCATGCAGTCAGACCTGTTGTATTGTTGTTGTTCAGCATCAGATATAATAAGATCACATGTCAGCCTTGTTATACAATATCATAATTTGATCTAATCCTTGTGTGTTAGGTGCTTCAGATGGTGAACTATAATTAAACACTACAATACAATGACAAACACTGCCCTGCTGACTCTCAGGCAAAAGCACCACTGCTGCTGATGATATGACCAAATATACACATTAATTTTTCTCTTCTTTACAGTAAATTGTCAGAAGAAAATTGTAGATGGCTGCCTGAGAGCTTTGAAAAACAAATTGCAAAAATAGCAGCTTGAAGTCAAGCTACTGTCAGACTAAGTTAAATATTCAAAACTAATTCAAATTTAAATTCAAATCTGCAACAAACATGCCTTTTGGCTTCCCTAACAGGTTGCCTACACAGGAAGGCCCTCAGGGCTTCTTGCAAAGCATGCTGACCTATGTTCAGACTTGAAGGAAAATGTTTGTAGATGAAAGCTATGCATTGATGATGTTTGGCCCTGCAGCTGAAACTCTATTGAGGTATCGGATCATTTGACCAGCCACGGTGGCAGATAGATTACACTGCATTTTTCACAGCAGCTGCATGTTGTGTGGATTTCACTGTGCTAAGTTTACGAAAGCTGCACACCAGCATTGCCTTTCTCTTTGCTGTGTTTGTACTGTAAAATTTGACTGTAGTGTCTTTTCCCCCGGTGGCCATCTCTTAATCTTCTCCTCCTTGCTGGCCACAGATTTTAAGTTGTATACCTGCCTCTGGGCATGATTGTTTTCACATATTTATCTCTTTCTTCTCTCTCTGCCCCTCTCCCTCATCCACAGGTTTTGGAGGATGTGTTGACCTGATAGTGGACGGGGTATCGTTGCTTAATAAGATTGGCCTCCCACCCACAGACCAGCCCCTACATCATGACTACATAGAAAATGAAGTGCAGCTGGCCCAGAGCTTTGCCTATTTCTTTGCACCGGGAGCTGCTGCAGAGTAAGTGTTACGTGTGTGTGTTCGTGTGAATAAGAGTTGACTATTAGATAGTTGTGTTCTAGTTAATACATCCTGAATTCACAGTGTGGTTTTATAAATACATGCGTGAGTGAAAGAGTGCACATGCAAATACTTTATTATGTTTGCCTTTTCTGTGCTGTGACTGGTTCGAGGAGTCTTTCTGTGTATATGCAAGGTGTGTCAAAGTCAGTATTTCTTTTTATATGCAGGGTGTGTTCAAGTATGTTTTTGTGATTGAATAAGAGGTGAGACATAAAGTAGATAGTGTGCAAGTCTTGAGACCAACCACGAGCAAATTTTTCCCAGTTGCGCACCTAAGGCTACTGTGATCCTGGCTCAGTCCATCCCCTTACACGCTCTTTCTCACACACACATGGATTCCACCACAAATGTGTCACAAAATAAACAACCTAAGTGAAAACTTAGGGTTTTTTTAAAAAAAAAAAAACAAAACCTTGATTTGGTCAGTGCTTATCTGTATTTTTCTATTTCTGTTGCTGTTCATCAGTTACTAACTCGTCTTCCCTCTCTTTTCATTCACCGGCGGCTGCTCTTGTTCTGGCTCTGGCGCCTGGCTCTGAGCCCTTGTTCTTTGTCTGGAACTAACACCTAAAGGCAGCATGCTTACAAAATCACCATGGACAGAAAGGGCAAGGGAATGTGTGTGAGAGACTGAAAAAGAAAAGCAAATGTTATCTAAAACTCTTAATTAGACATAGAAACCAGGTCTTTTTCAGCTCAGCATTTAGATTTATTGCTCCTGCGTCTTTCTCGCCTGTTTTTTTTTGGGGGGAGGGGGGATTTGGGTTTGTAAAAGCCATAATTCGGATGCACTTCAGCCAAAAAAGATGAAAAGTTAACAGCAAAGTGATATGTGTGAAGAACAGAAGAAATTATTGGGTGTCTCTGCCAAAAGTAGCCCGGGTCAAACCATATATGTAATAAGTTTATTTTTCTCAGTGTGCTTTGCTTTCAATTTGGTTTCTCCTCCATTCCCGTCCAAGCTTATCCCATAAAATAGCATACCTTCCACAGGCCACGTGTACCGGGAGCCTTCCTGCGTAAAAGTCTGGCTTCTTTTTATCTTTTTATCTACGGCTTCACTTGTAGAAGTACCAGACATTTTAGAAGACATTAGGTTGTCTTTTTTGGCTTTCCAACACCTCTACTTACGTACATTTCTTTCTTCCTTTTCTTTAGTTTTGTTCTTGCCTCCCACTTCCTTTCTCTTAAATTTTGACACCCTTGATATGCTTGACAAGTGAATTTTTTTCAGCAAACTCAGAGAAGAGAAACGCTCTGTTTAACAGTACTTCCATCTAATATTTACAAAGAGACTGGCTGGACAAGTCTCTCAGGTTTAACTACAGTGGTTTATGCCTAGTTCAAACAACGCAACTTTAGCCCTGATTACCCTGCTTGCCGACAGTTTTTAGAGCTCCCTAAAATAAAAAGCCCCAGATCAAAGGCAAATCAGTGTTGGCTTGTTGGTCGCGAATCGGCGCTCAAGCGCGATGTGTAAACTGTTCAAAGACATGAGCCTGATGAATCACAGACGCTGCCAGGGCTTCATATCTGGACAGTGCATGTACAAACAGAACTGGATACAGCAATGGAAGCAGGGCCCTGTTCATTCCTATGAAAGTTGCTCAGTGGTGCGTGAAGCCCAAAAAGTTAAACTTCCTAGATATAAAGTTACCCAGATCTTCTGCATCATTGGGCACATAGAGCAAGTGCACTAGAGACCTAGCTAGTCGGTTTGTATCGTTTGTATGTATCCACTGACTTACAGCTGTCTCTTTCCCAATGTAAGTCTATGGGAAAAAGTGTTTTTGGAACCCATGGCATCATGTGACAGACCTGGAAGTTGTAGGAACATGGTTTGCCCACCATGTTTGTCCTGTTCAACACATACTCATCCTCCTTGTGAAAGATCTTCTTGTGTGTGACCCTTGTCATTGGTTGGTCACGTAATGAAGGGAAAAAAAGACAACTTCAAGACCAGTGTCAGAAATTAGCAAGGGCCACGGGCCATTTGGCCCGCAATTGATCCAAGAATGCCCCCAAAAGCCATGTTCCGGGGGCCAAAATTGCCCCCAAGTTTTCGAAACAACTATATGTATTTATATTTTTAACAGTATTACAATCTGACATTAGTAGTATAATTAGTATAAGAAGTATGATTTTATTTTTATTAAATTAATTTACCGTCACCTCTACAACTCATTTTCCAGACATAATCAACGAGATTGCACTGATTATGTGAGAGTAATCTGACAGAGAAGGGGAGGGGGCTTTGCTGTACCATAAGTATAAACTACACGGTGGCAGTATAAAGTATAAACTGCACTGTGGCAGTACAAACTACAACAATATGACAAGACAGAAAGAAGGCATGTTTAGAGGAAAATGAAAACTGAGTTTTAACATAGTTTCACTTTTTTTTTTTTCCTTTTTGTCTTACAGGCGTTTCATGTTGAATGATACTCTATTCAGTGAGCTGGTGGAAGCATCCCGTGACTTACCTGGAAACAGATGGGCAATAGGCGGCAACGCCCCTGCAATGGCTGGTCGCATGGCAACTGAAGGGTGTGATATATTGCTCGGGGGAAGTTTTAGCACTGATTATACAGATGTTCTGTCTGAGCACATTACAGGTACAAATACACACACAAGCACATACTGGTACATCCACCTCCAGCTCCTCTGCCTTCTATATATCTCCCCACCCCTGTCCTTGTCACCTCCATTCCCGTGTGCTAACCAATCTCTGTCTCTCCAGTGGCAGGTAACATAGTTGAAGAGCCAGACATTCATCTGATCCTGGAGTATCCAGCTGGGGCTAGCTGGGGTCAGTATACTGCTCGTAGAGCCAACAGGTAAGTGTTAATTGAGCATTTGGTAGATATTTTGAGAATCTTGACAGGGCAGTAAGGTTAACTGTCAATGTGTGTGTGCTAGAGCCAGAGAGAAATTTTCCCATCATGCACAGTCAGCTGGATTTAATGAATGTTGTGAGTGATTAGAAGCACTGTGTGTGTACATACATGTTGTCATGGTATTTGTATCTGACTGGCTGACTTGGCTTTGTAGGTATATCATCCACAGTGATGACCATAACCCCTACCTGGACTCCATGGAGCACTTTGCTGAGAAACTTGAAGACTTTAAACCAGATCTGCTGGTGGTGGGTGGACTGCAAATGATGGATAACTTCCCCTTCCAGTCAGGTAAGAGGACACTGGTGACAACCTTGTTAGTAGTCGCTGATTTGGAACCTCTAGCAGCAGTGTTTGCTGCTTTGTGTCGCACAACTGAAATGTGATAATGCTGAACATTTGTCAGTTGTGTCTACATTTTGTCTGAATTTCCTCTCTTCTCTTTCCACCTCTTCCTTTCATCATTAAAGGGGAGCGAGATGCTCTCCTCTCCCGCCTGGCCGACCTGCTGTCCTTGTCGTCTCCACAAATTGGAGTCCATTTTGAGATGGCCAGCTTTGTAGAAGAGAGTATAATGGAGGACCTACTTCACTACGTCATTCCACATGTATGTATGACTTAACAGTTACATCAGTCAACAAATTTAATCAAATGCTAGGACAATTACACAAACACAGGAGTTAAAAAAACAAAATGTTCCTCCCAGAAAAATAGAGTGAAAAGGTACAAGATGTTTGACAAAGCATAGCAGTGAGATTGAAAGTAGATTTGTTTAGTTAAATGTGTTGAATGTAGTTCTGAACAAAACAGTGCGTGACTGTGTTTGCCTTCCACAGTTTGAATAGTTTCTTTTTGTCACATCTGTTTTGTATCTACATGTTAAAACATGGAAGCTTCACACACATCCTCAACCCAGCAGCACAGAAGATCAGTTCATTCAATCTGCTGAATTGCAGGCTATGACATACAATGCAATTGCTTCCCATACTGAGTGTGCAAGGAAGCTGCACAGGTTATTACTTCTACAGCTGTGAAGCACAACATAAAGGGTCATGCTTTTTAAATAACCTTAAGTTCTGTTGGCATTATATTGGGGTGTCTGTGTGTGTGTTTGCCAGCCGCTAGGTTGCTCACCTGGCAGCTACAACTCTTCCGCTAGTTTCTGCTTAGTCTTAGTTTTCTGCTCTTTACGCCATCGTGGTCAGAGCTGGAGGACACATCACACAGGCGAGGCTTCTGCTGCCACGACTCGACAAGGTTTTACTCGAAACATTTCTTTTAACATGTTTTGCCTCCATGGTGAGCTGCTATCCATCTGTTTGTTTTGGATTAGCGCTCATGCATCATTTCATGCTGCATTTCTGTTGGTTAGTTAGTTGATGCAGGTCTTGGCAGCAGTCACACTGTGAGATCATCACAAATTTTTGACACTGTCTGAATATTATCCCAGGCTGACTTTGATCGCAAAACTGTGACAATGGTCATCATTGAACCTTTATCTGTGAGACATAGGACCACCATTTTAGAGCCATGACCAAAGATATCATCACGTTTCATTCACGATGGTCATCTTTCGTCCGGGACAACCCAAAATCGCACAGTGTATACCAGGCTTTACACAGAGGTGTTTTAGAGATCAAACTGTAGCCTTTTTCAGAATAAACTACACTCGCCATATTGATCACAATGAAAGAATGTTACTCAATACAATTTTATTGCTTCTGTTTGTTTTTATGAAGATGCACAGCTCAGATAAAGGGATGTCCTTAGTTTAATTACTCTTCCTGATTCTTTTTTCTCAGGCGGACTCTTTAGGGATGAATGAACAGGAGCTTCCCAACCTGCTTAGTCTGCTCAAAGGCTCCAACATTAAAGTGCTGTCGGACCCAAACCCTCGTGTAGCCACTGTCCTCGACCAGATGAGGGAGGTCTATCGCATTTTAAACCAGCGCTACAGGGACACCACTGCAGAAGATGACACATACAGTGCTAAAGCTAAGCCGCTGACTCGACTCCACGTCCACACTCTGGCCTTTCAGGCCATGATTGTGACCCGTGGCTCCCAGTGGAAGAACACCATGTCAGCCACCGCCAAGGCCTCTCTCACAGCTAACCGCCACGTCTGTGGCTCCAATGACATTGACCTCAGCAAGGCACGGCTCATCATGGACGACTCCTTCTCTGTTAGCCGGCGGGAAGGCAGCCAGCGTATCCCTCTGCAGGAGACCCGGCCTGTCAGCTGCTGGGATGAGGACGACTACGAGATTTGCGTAGCACCAGTGCTGGTATGCACTGAGGTTTACCAAACTGCAGGTGGAGGGGATAATATCTCAGCTGCTGGCTTGGTGCTGCAGATCTAAAGAGGGACACTTAATGGTTTATCTGTGTCTAGTGCTCACTACATGTTCCTAAACAATGTGACTCTGGAAACACGATCTAGGTGTGATGCAATGTGCCTCGCTACCGATTGTATCAGGCTAATGTTGTCGCCCTGGCACTTCATGGACCAGGTGGACCATAAGGAAAACTGATCATCAATGGTAGGAGTCAGGTGATGGGGGGCAGCAGATTTTAAATATATGGGCTCAGACTTGATTTTTGAGGTAGATGCAGTAAAACACAGGTAAAGTCTATTGTAACCAGACTTCCTGCAGTTAATTCTCAGTTAGGTGTGTTACATTGGGTTGGAGGGCTGAATCACTGATTTCATGCCTCTTGCTTTAATGCTGGTACATATAATAATATGTATCTGTGCAATCTCGACCTGATTGCAAAGCTCTTTTGCATCAATTTTTTTTAAATTTCTAGAACCAGACCATTGAAAGAGACACTGCCCTGATCTGTACTACTGTGATTCAACACAGTCGACATCTTTACCAAATCATTGTCACCCATCATCTGACTCCTGTTCTCCTCTACTTCTCCAAGGCCTTACAAGACTTGGCCTTCAGTCAGGATTAGATAAAGAGGGATGAGGTCTGGATAAGGTCCATTTGTACCAAATTCTTTTAGGTTAGAAGCCGACAGAGCCGCACAACTTCAGCTGTATGATTAATTCTCTTTGTGTCTTTGTGACTCCACTATGCAGCAGCCTTATCCAGAGGTTTTTTTTTTTATTTTTTTGGAAGCATGTTTATCAGGTGCCACCTACTTAAATCTTAATTTTGAGTAACTATACAGGGCTAAGACCACCCCTGCCTTGCAGCAAATGCATATTCAACCTAAGGCTGAAAGGTAGTTAACATATCCGTTTTAAAAACATCTGAAGCCTTTTTTAATGCGACTGCTCTATCCTGCCTCTTCCCTCTCCTATCTCATTCTCAGAGGCAAAGACGGATTTTAAGTAGATAGCTAGTGAGATTATTGCCTCCATTCTTCCTAATGTGAAAAATGTGCATACTGGTTCAGGTGTGTTTGTTTTAAATTTGTCATTCCTCTGTGGGTCTGTTGCAGTGCAATAATGCAAAAACAATGTTAATGAGATCTCTGTTGGTAGCTGGATATGATGTCAAAAACTTCCTCTCTACCTCCATGCACTGTTTGTTTCTCCTCTTTTCCTCCTTTACTCGTCTCTGTTCCTTTGTCAAGCTTTATTATTATCTGTTGTATCTATTCTTGTGTTTTTATGGCTCTTTAAGGACCAAATAACCAGTGTGGACTGCCCATTGCTGCAAAGAAGTTACTGGCAGTCAGTTGTAATGTTCTCATGTGATATGGCTGCAAACAGTGGAACACAGTCTCATCACTAGTTTTAAGGGGAAGCTGTGGTGTTACTCACTATGAATCCCCTTCATCTGTGGGACACAAAGTACATATCATAGTTGAGTCTTGTTAGTGAAAATGGGGCCCTGCCTCTAATTGGCCATTACTCCCATTTTTCTCTTTTCAGGGTTTAAATCACTTTTGTTTGAAGCTTTATGGAAAATGTTTTTCTCACTATGTATGAAGCAAACATTCCACCCAAGAGCCAGCTTCAGTTATTTTTTCAATAGAACATACACATGTTTGACAAGTGCATTTTTTTTCTTGATTAGACATTTCAATTTCTTAAAACATGTTCTCCAAATCCCCTTTCCTCACAGGGACACAGGTATTCATGTTCATGAATCAACGTAACAAGTGTGAACTAAGGAAATCCCTTTAAGTCTTTCCTCTGTGTATCGAGACTGTACTGATATAATAATGTTTGATTATGCTGGAGGTAAATGAGCCTTATTCTGTTTTGTCTTTTAGTGTTTAGTGAAAAGGGAGTGTTTAATACAAACTTTTTTCTATTACTGTAGACTTATGTTTTATTCTCTGATGTCTTTGTCTTACACAGTGTTTGGAAGACAAGAGCAACGGGTCATGTTTATACTGTGAAGTGAACTTCAGCATGCATTAATGGTCGGATAGAGAACTGCTTGTGTTTGCTGCCATATCATGTACTTATCTAAGATTTAGATAAATCATGTCATCCACGTTCCAAAGCTGTGTTTACCTGTTCCATGCATGTTTACTATTCAATGCAGAATCACCTAAGATAAAATACTATGCTGATAAAGCAATCATTGCTTGGGGTCATTTATTGGTAAGGGTCACTGCTTTCATGGCTTCAAACTGCAGTTTTTAAGCTGATTCTTTGGACAAGTATGCGCTTTCTTGATTTAGTCCTCTGAACTCATTAATTCTTCAAGGTGAGTACTATGGCACACACATCATGGATTGTTTGTCACAGCAACATCATTCTGCCATGATGGATGTTGTTTCCTGCCTTCACACTCCCAACACATTTCATTTTTTATTTTCCCTTTTTGTCCGTTAGCTGCATGTACTGTCTTGTCTTGTAAATGAATAACCAAATTATGTCTCATTTTTGATTCCATCACTGGGCCCCGATATGATCAGCAAACGAGATGTATTCTCATTAGAGTTTCTCCGACGTCAGACTTCGGATTACTTTTAACTTTTCAGATTTTATATCGGCAAGCTTGTACTGCAGCTTAAGGAGGATTGGACTAATACTTTTAAATTACATTAGGAGCTTATTTTATTACTGCTGCATGTAGTCTGTACAGTATCTGCAGGAGTCCTTGACTGACTTAAATTATTCTTAGTGATTTTGTTAAGAAATCAGCCCTTTGAGAAGTCCTGTTTCACTTGCACAATAGTACCCTACAGTTTTGTGATGTTTTCATTGGTTCAAACGCAGTGTTGAAGTACTTGAGATCAGTCTTGGTCTCAAGATGAGCTTCAAGACCACTCTTTGAAACTCGCAGTTTTGTCGTGGACTTGACCACATTTTTACTCGGTCTTGTCACAGTCAAAGAAAGACCGTTACATTGATTCCACATTTTTTGTAAGTGTGTTGTGCAGTCTGGTTTTGGTCTCAACTTTGTCTTGTCCTGCCTTGGTCTTGGTCTTAACCCCTCAAAGTCTTGGTCTTGTCTCATTCATGATACACTCTGCCCTCAGTCAGGACTTGGTCTTGGTTTAGGTGGTCTTGACTACAACAGTGGTTCAACAGACAAAACTAAATTAAAGAAAATAATAGGTAAAGTAATTAGTAAGTAAACCTCTGAGTAGACATCAGAGAGGGATCATAAATATAGCTAACAGCCACATGACCCTGATCTGCTTGGGTTTCTAATCTCAAATCTTCCGTACACAGGATTAAAAATGAACATTTTCCATGTAAAACAAGCCTAAACTTCCTCATGCTGCTGCAAAGTTTATAAGGAGCCTGTGCTATTTGAGGACCCAGCACTAGGTCTCAGACTCTATTTTGTATCTAGGTTCTGGGGTTGTGTCAGCAGCAACCTCCCTTTCTTAAACACAAACAATTTTGCATGAGCAGTCACACCTGAGTAGATCAGTTGTGTGTAATGACCATGACAGTGATTTTTAACTTAATCTACATGTAGAAAGTAGACTGTATCATGTACTTTAAAACTGAATGTTTGTGGAAAACATGTCAGAACATCTCTGTAACATGTCAGACTTGGAAATATGGAAAGTGAGGTTAGGTACTACATGTAAATGGATGGGAGCATAAAACTACTGCATGCTTTACAAAAAATAATTAACGTCACCTGCCCTGACACATTTTCCCATGTCTGCCAGTTTGCTAATACAACTTTATCTGAACTGAAAGACAATTCTGGAAACACAGAGTTGGGATTGAGAAATGTACATTAATTTATTATACCATATCAGACCTACAGGCCCACAATAACACATGCAGACACAAACACAAACAAACACAGACTTGTGTGCTTCGAATATTTCTCAACAACGAACACTATGACACTGACTACATTTCAGGGTCAATGGTCAGCTGGCCAATTATGTCTTCGTAATAGATGAGGTTCTTCTCTTTGTCAGCAAATGCTGTCAGCATTTCCTCCATCTCCTCCTGAGTGAAGGGGTCACCTGATATAAGCACAACCATGAACAAACAAAACACAGCCATGTTTAAAATGTACGTTGTTTTGTCAAAGTATGGATGGGTCTGTTGATTGGTACTTGACACTTTTAAAGTATCGACCAAAATAACCCAGTACAAAGTAGAATGGAAACAACTCCAGTCAAATTATACATTTGATCCTATTTTGCGCCAGGTGTCTGATCAGCAAACTTTCTGTTGCTGCCTTCTCCAGAGCTGCTCTCCTCCCGGCGAATGGTTAGCTCAATGTCTGCCTGGTTAGCAGGAGCTACAACAGCAGCAGCCGTTTACATCCAACACCGAGTGGTTAAACAGTCCCAATTAACTCACACTGACATGGAAATGGCTTGACTGTTGTTAAACCCGTCTATAACTGTTAGGTAACGTCAGCCGTGTGATGCTAACAATTTGCCCTGACACTGTCAATTGCAGTATATTTGAAAGGGCAGTTCAGTGTGCTGAGATGCCACCAGAACGTTCAAAGGTTTGGCTATATTACACGCCACTCCATTCACATTATGTGTATGAAGTACTCTAATGGTGTCACTATCACTCTAAGGGCAGTAGTATAGAGTGCCCCAGGAATATGTCCTAAAACCCAGAAATGAGTTAGCATTTCTGCACTCCTGGTTCCCTCGTCTCGAAGTCAGAGGGTTTGGATGAATGGGAGAATAGATGGATGAGGTTTTTTGAATGGGATTTTGGTGAGATGCCTAAAATATGATGTGGAGTTTATTTTATTACTGCTGCATGAGTCTATTTTCTGCAATAATCCAAAATCCAATGGAATAATCCCATTTGGCTTTATGACAAAGGAGGCAGGGCGATGTTAACTTCTACGTCGGTCTACATAAAAACCCTAGAGCACTCTATTAATACTGGTATCGTAATCTTTTTAAACAATGCCCAGCCCTAAGCAAGAGAAATGATACACACACACAAACATATCTATGAGATTATCTACTTTTCACCACACAAATACATTTCTCTTCACATCACAAAGCAAAAACTGAAAGCTTCTGCTTTACCTTCCTGTGTCATGTACTTTGTCAGCTCCTCAGGCTCCAGGTATCCTTTCTTTCCTTTGTCCAGAACCTGGAAACAGTGTTATTGCCTTCATACTTTAACAAATATCAGTAAATAACACTGTGATATTAGTGTCACTCTGCTGACAGTATGATATATACAGAGGCTGAAACTCAGACTAAATTTAGATACTGTGCAGTTGCTGGTACGACTGCAATAATGGAGAATATGAGGAAACAGAAGCTGATCTCACCTCAAAGGCCTGAAGCAGAATGTCCTCAGGGATGGGAGGGAACCTAACACACACACACACACACACACACACACACACACACACCACTATTTGTGTCTGTTGCAAGTTTGGTAGAACCGCCCTGATAGCATTGACATGACATACCAAAATTCTGTGATCAAACATGGTATCATTATCATAGTTTCTATTAGTAATTTCCAGGCTCAGTTTACACCCCAGGCTGAACTATACTGTGCTCATTTTATCAAAGAGGATCCTAAGGTACTATAAAATCTGAAAACTCGTACCAGCAACAGGTGCTCCCTCAGTAACATCTAGTTGAAAGTCATACTGTATAATAAATTGTTTGCTTCAACAGGAGCACCCATTTGCATGATGACATGGCCTTCTCTTCTTCTCATCCTCTAAATTTAGCATTTTTATTCATTTAGTTAGACATAATAAAAAAAAGCACTGAGTCAATTGTACACATCGGAGATAACAGAGCCGTCTTACTTGTGCTCCAGCAGCACTTTGGACATGACTGGAAGGAACTTGTCCAAATGGATATATCCTGCATGGTCCTCTTCAACCTGTTTGAACGGGACAAGGCTGCTAAGTTCTGGTCTTTTAACAACAAGCTGAGAATTTTCAAACAAAACTCTTCATAATATCATCTTACAGTAAGTAGTAGCAATTTCTAGCTCGTAAAAAAACTAATACAAGGTGGAATATTTTAATAACATGATGAAATATCTCCACACGTGTAATAAAGATTGTTGCATGACTCATACATAAAAAGTGAACATCCCTATTTAAGACTGCACACCTGAGGAAAGCCTCAGATGATTAGTCTGACCGGTTGTTTACTTAATCCAAAATATAAGCAAAATATAAGTAAACACTGTCCTGACCTCAGCTATTAGGTCATGTAGGTCTGCCTGGGTGGGGAAGCAACCCAGGGAATACATGATGGTGCTCAGCTCCCTGCAAAAAAAACAAACAAACAATCATGATAAACCACACCACATGTGAAGACTGAGTATAATGGTGATGTTCTTCCTGAGAGATGTATTATGGCATGTTTTATTCACCTAGCTCAGGGGTCAGTAACCTTTACTATCAGAAGAGACATTTGTGGCCCCCAAAAAATTAAAAAATCTATCTGTCTCAAATCTGTAATCTAAATTAGCCTATACATTTTCCTAATAGGTCTAAATAAGCATTCATTTTACAGCAATGTAGCTGCTCTGCAATGGGCTATTTATGAGTATTTGGTACTTGAACTTTGCAGCATTAGTGGTGAAAGCAAACAAATCGGTCCACTCACTGTGAAATTCTCTATTTTCCTCCGAGACATTTTCTCTTTTTGGATTTGGAATCAATAGCTACCCTCACTAAGGAGATTCAGGACTAGCCATCACTACTGAGATTCACAAATTTTAGGTAAAGGCACCAGGCTGTAAACTTGATACACACTGTTGATGAGATGCTAAACATTTGTTTTTATTTACTGTATACACATTTATACAAATGGAAAATGTAAGAATCACTTTAGATCTACAACAAAATGAAAATGAAAATGTTGAAAAGTAACTGTTATTCATTTCCATCTATTCTATTGTCAAAGTCACATGAAGCCACTGGAGAAGGACTAAAGAGCTGCATGTGGCTCCTGAGCAACAAGTTGCCTGATCCTGACCTGGCTCTACCAGAGCCCACCATCTCAAACACCCACCACAGTAAGAGGCAAAATAAGGTATTTCCTTAAAACAAAACAAAACAAACAAAAACTACAGGGCCAGGTGGGTGTTTCCCTCATAAACTATAATAAATTCTAAATAGGCATAAACACAAACTATCCT